AAGTTATATCAACTTTCAGACCACTTTTGTCCTCAAGATAGGGGTTTCAGGGAAAAGTACAGGAATGTCAGAAGCAGAGTTTCTGTTTTGAAAATCAACATTTCCCATCTAAAAATGTTTTGGTGAAGATTTCCAAGTCATTTTAATTAAAAAAATACCAAAATCAGGAAGGTACATGAGACACTGTGCTACAGGATTTCATTGTCACTTGAGTATTCTTCAACAGAGATAAACTAAGTTCCCCCAAACAGCTGCTCAGAGTCTGAAACTTCATTTCACTGAAAATGAAGCATTTTATGGAATTAGTTTTCATCCAGAAAGTAGTGCTAAAGAGATGGGCAGACTTTTTCATATTTTATTGCCTCGTGTCTTGCCCAGAAATCGGTATGCATGTAAGATTCAAACTCACATTTTGCCTGATTGAGAATAACCAGAGAGGAAAAGCTCTTCCCTGAATCAGAGAAGGACTTGAACTTGGAGGTCCCATACCCCAGACTAGTCCCTTCACTGGTGGGAATTCAGCACTCATATCTCTTGCCAAATTGCAACATTTGAACAGAATTCTGTTTATGCAAAAACATTCAAAAAGTGTTAGTTTTCATTCCAGTGTGGAATTGAAACCAAACTTTGAAACCTCAGAATTGCTGCAAATCAGAGTTGTCCTCCAGAGCTGTCCTCCAGTCAGCTCAAAGGGCTGCTTTGTGTCTCAGGAGCTTGCAAAATAACTAGATCACAGTCCCGGTTCTCGGCCCATATTTTGCAACTGGGTGTTTCTGGGGCTTTTTAAGGCACTAGACAAGCTTGCAATACATCACTGTCAATATGTTTAACCTGAGTTCTGCCAATATCAGATATATTCTTGCCCTGCAGTGTGGCTTTGACTCTGCTGCTTTGAATAAGCAGCAACTTTAGAACTTGCACAAGCAGCAAACAGCGCTGCAGTAGTTCTGTCAGGCCTGGCCATGCATTTCTGCTGCCCTGCGCATTAAGTCCGGGTCTTAATTTTATTGCCATTGTTTTATTTCTTGTTTCCAAAGTTTGGTGACACCGAAGTTCAATTGAAGGCACCCAGTCCAACCTAAAGAATTTGAAGGCAAAGCGCTGTTGTGCTTTGAAGCTTCTTCACTGAACAGGGGCTGTACAGTGTTTCCATTTTCCTTGGCACCTGAGCCCTATTCCCTAAAGGCTTAGGTAGTGTTAAGGGTTGTGCAGATGGCTTGTGCTTAGTTTAAACCGCATACAGGAAGCTTTCTTTTAGCTCAACTTCTCTATTGTTGTGCTATATTAATAGGCTCCTTTGAAGCTTAAGAAAGGACTGATCTGACTAAATAATAGTTCTGGGTGTGGAAAGTTATTTAGGACCACTGTTTGCAAAACCCAAAAGGCTGTTTCATTTAACCGTTTCCTTGCCTGCCTGTGCAGCCAGGTTTTGCTCGTTGCAGTGCTCAAAATGAGGAAGCTGCACTCCCATTTTTGAAATGATGGGCTTTGAGTTATAGGTATTTATTTATAAGCAAATGAACATATTTATTCTTAGATTGCTGTAGTCAAGCCAGAAAATGTTGGCTAGCCACTATGCAAATATACAGATATGCTCTGAATTTTGATCCTGCCCTGACTTTGTGTGCAGATTCCACAGAGAAGTACCCCAACCTTAGCTTGTGCTGGAAGGGCTGATTTTGTTTTGCTCGTATCCGCAGTCAAAATCAGAGGCAGTTCCCGAAGTGCCTTGCTCGGACCGGCCCTCAGTGCCACCAGCGCTTCGCTGCTGCTGTCCCCTTTAATTCTGCTGGCAGGCAGCTCAGTCCTCCTTTAAGCTCAGGGTTCAGCCTTGTCAGTCCTGACACTCAGTTCTCCCTGTTGAATGCTCATTCTTGCACTTCCAAAGCCCTGAGTGAGACTTGCTTAGTGTCTTAAAAAGAAAAAACGAGCACACCCTTCGTCCCTGCTGCTTTAGGTGGGGATATGCAGCCATATGCTCTTCACCCCCTACCTCCCTACTTCCTCCAAGGGACGGTGCCAAAGTGGATGTGTCACTTTGCAGCAGGGGCGCAGGACAATACAGTGCTCAGGGGAAGTGGCCAAACTGCTCAGCTTCTGCTTTGATTAAAAACTTCTTTTCATTCTTTTTCAAGTGCCCGTTTGCAACATCAACAGTTTCTCCCTTCCACCCAGAAATTCCCCTGCACCACAAGCAGAGCTTTCTCTTGTGCAAAAAGAGGAAGAGCCAAAGGGGCCATGAAGTCTGCTGGAGACTTCTTAGCTGTAGGCCAAAATAATCCAGCCTGCTCTAAGGCATTATAGGAATGATCAGAGACTCTCAGACAGGTAGCCATAACAGTTAAGGACTGGAGCTTTTGGGTGAGTTTCTTCTCAGAGCTGAACATGCACCCAACCACCTCCAACTGCCTGGAACTCATAGGGAGAAATTTGAAAGAGAACTAACACATCTTGGGTTTTTTCTCCCTCATTTAGAAGACATTGGTATTTCAAATATCTGAGCTACATACTGCAGTTCTGTGGCAAAGAAAAAAAGGCTTAGAGCCCTAAAGGGGCATGTTCATCTTTGTTCAAAAGTATACCACATGATACAGGTGACACATTACTCAGTTCCAAGAGCAGAGTCCAAAGTTCAAGCATGCTTTTCTGTGGTCAAGAAAGGATAAAAAAACCCAAACCCCCAGAACCCTAAACATTAATCAAAACTATTTTATCTGATTGTTACAAATCACACTTGCATTCATGCAGCTGTGGCCTGCTTGCAGCCAAAACTCTGAAGCAGCCATCCCACAACACAGTCAGTTCTCCTCCACCGAGGTGTTTCCCAACTTCTTTATAAAGCAGATTTTCTGAGAGTGAAGAATGCACATGGGAATAAGTGATGCAAATCTTCTGTTTACTGACAGTGACATTGGACTTTCTAAATATATAACTCCAGTAAAAGCCATAAACAAAAACATTTTTTCCCCCTCTTCAGCATGTTGAGAAGCAGAAAGGGTGCCTGTAATCTCTGACAAATTTTAAAGTGGGGTTTTTTTATTTACAATTTAAAAAAAAATAACATTTTGTTGCCAAGGGAAATCACTTTAGAATAAGGATTTGTGGTTTGCATAGCTGTGAAAGAAAGGATTGGTTTAAAAGGGATTGGCTTCATTTTGCATAAATGAAGGAAATTCATTCTTTGTAGGTGCTGCTAGTGAGTGCCACTGACCTGTGCTAGCCGGGAATGTCAGTGCTAGAAAGGCACTTCCTCTTCCTTGAAACCCTGTGAGAGAGGCTGGGATTGAATTACTTGCGCTACATCTGGTTGCTGAACCTTTCAAACAGAGGAAGCACATCCTGGTCCAGAATTCAGGCCTTCTTCCAAATAAAGAACGTACCCTTTAGATGTCCCATTACCTGCCTTTGAATAGCTAATGGCTCCTGCTGTTTGCCAGCTAACTGTGTTTCCAGTGGAAAAGTGATTACAAGGGAAATTGAAGGGTCAGAAGTGCTGCTTGTTCTGATTGTAAACTCTTTCCCCCCACCCCTTTCAGCATTGCTCACCTTCATTTTGAGAGGCACAGAGCAGGGAAACCAGAGGCTCGTGGCTAACGTAGTTCGTGGCAACTTTCCTTCAGAGCTTGTTAAACTTTTCCTTTTCCTATTGTCGTATTTGGCCCGATACACAGAACCTGAGTCAGTGACATGGCTGTAAGCATTCGCCAGAGCATCGTGCTGTCAACACAAGCCACGTGCTTAACTCTGGTTGCAGCTTCAGTTGTTTTAGTCCATTCAGGTTAGACTCCCAATCAGCCCCCTCCCTTATGGAAAGATAACGTAGTACATTTGCTCTGACTCAAAGGAAGAAATAGGCTGGGGGAGTACATTGCCATGTGTCCGATCAAATCAGGTTCAGATAAACTCTGACCCTCCTTCTTTAATCTATTTTCAGAATAAAACTGTTCCCTTTTAAACTGTTTATCTTCCCTGAGAAATACTGAAGTAGGTCACTTCTAGAGGCAACAGGGCAGCTCTCGCCTCTAAAATAATGTTCTATACTGTTCCCAGAACATGCCCCTATTCTAGAATATGTCCCTGTTATTCTTCTGTTCCCTATCCCTTTCTGTTCCACCTAAGAATATGTTCGTGTGTGGACTGCACCTGCTAAGGAGTTTGGAGTGAAACACCTACTGCTTTACAACAGGGCAGCCGGTGTACAGCCAGCAAGGGACACACAGAAGATGTGTTCAGTTACATAAATCCATGCAAAAAGTACATGGGAGGGGTGACAATTCTCAGATGTGTCATACGTGCCTGATTGTGCCTGCAGGATTCAAACGCCTGCGTACATGTAGG